GCCCGCAGGTGCGGCGGCGGCGCCCTCAGGCCGCGGCGCGGCGGCTGGAGGATGGGCACCCAGGGCAGCCCGGTGAAGAGCTACGACTATCTGCTCAAGTTCCTGCTGGTGGGCGACAGCGACGTGGGCAAGGGCGAGATACTGGAAAGCCTGCAGGACGGCGCGGCCGAGTCCCCGTACGCCTACAGCAACGGTAGGCCGGGGCGCGGGGGAGTGCGGGGCCTCAGGGCCTCTGCCCCGGCGCGGCATCCCTGCCCGAGCGCGGGGACTCGCCTGAGCGGCCGCGTCCCACTAACCGAGACCCCGGGCGGTTGGGCTTTGGGGATCTGGCAGATCTGGGCTAGATCTGGGTTGGCACCGCACGGATAGAGGGGATCCTTTCATACTGCCCCCCTTTGAGTCTTGCTCAGGGAGCCTACTACAGCTTGTGCCAGGAGAAAATACCCCGACAGCGGTGTTATTAAATATTCCCTTTAACTTCCGGGTGCATGGCTCAAATACACAAGGTAGATTGCATCACCAGCGCTTGCCTGAGCTTGCCTCTTAATTTCAGTATTTAAGGTAAAAATGGAGTTAATAGTAGGTGGGATTGGGTTCCAAGCTGCAGAGGTGTGTCCTTAAAAGACCCAGGGGCTGCACTGATAGCAGAGAAACTGGCGGCGCATCAGCATTCAGCCTTTGCAAGCCCGTGGATGCTCTGAAGTGCTGTCTCACCTGACTAATTTTACTTCTTCTGTCTGGCCTCTACCTCCTTCTTGCCTTTTTCCTTGGGCTCTTGTTGGTCCGGTCTGGCTGCTCTGAGCATTTACTGTTTGCCAAGTCGTTTGCCTGTGGGTGTTGCATCTCCCACCCTTTGGTTTTAGGACTTGTCCAGGGTATTGATCACTTGAACTGACTCAGGGCTCCTCCTCCTGAGCAGGAGTGCTGGATCTGCTCTGCCACTTACTCTTAGTATCAGCCTAGAGTAGATGTCTCTAAGGGCCAAAGAGGAAGAGCCATGTGGGGGAGGCAAGGTATGAGGTCCACAGATGTGGGGAGCCCCGCCAGCTTCATCTGTGAGCACATAGCCAGTAACTGGAGACATGAGCTTCCTGTGCTGTTCTCTGTATCTAGCTGCTGTGCATTGCCACACTTCCTATTATAGGTTGACTCAAATGGGACCAATATTGCATAAAACATGAAGATCTACTCCAGGTGGTGGAAATGGGAAGCTCATAAGGGCTGGTACCACAGAAGGCCATCTGCCAGAGATGATGTGGGAAGCTTGCTCTTAGACTGAGGGCTGGCAGGGCTACAATATATCCGGAGGTTCCCACAGGTGTCCTGTAGCATCAAGCCGACACAGCTGAATATCTGGGCAGTAGCATGATATTCCCCATGTTCAGGGAATCTTGGGGTTGAGATGTGCACAGCATGAGGGTTGGGGCATTATGATTGGGGCATCACCTCACTGACCCTGGAAGCGCTCTTAGCAGGGTGAAGTTGGTGAGTCTGACAACACTTGGACTTCCTCAGAAAGACCATTGGGGTTTGGAAACTCTGAATCAGTTGGTTCTTGGGATTTAGCATTGTGTGGGTTTGTTCTTTGGAAGAAATTAATAGGAGCTTTGGATTTCTGGTTCTCTCACAAAGAACAGGTGAATATTTCATTTTCTCCTTCATTATTAAAAGCCCTCAGAGCCAGGCATGCTGATGCATACCTGTAATCTCAGCTGCTTGGAAGGCTGAGGTAGGGTGATCTCAAGTTAGGGATCACCCTGGGCGACTTAGTAAGACCTTGTCTCAAAAGAAAATGAGGGGGCCGGGGATTTAGCTTATAGGCGCAAGTGCCTGTCTGGCAAGTGCAAGGACACTTTGAATTTGATTCCCAGGACCAAAAAAAACAAAAACAAAAACAAAACAAAATGAGGGCTGAAAATGTAGCTTGGTTGTATAGTGCCTCTGAGTTTGAGCCTCAGTATGTATGTTTCCAGTTTCTTATTTTTGGCCTAAACTTTAATGTTCCAAATGGGGTGGCAGGGAGGTTCTCCATGCAGTAAGAGGCATGCTGCTCCAGCGAAGCCCACCCCACTTCTTTTTTGTTGTTGTTGTTTGTTTGGTTGTTTTGTTTTGTTTTTAGACGGGGGTGTTGCTATGTAATTCAGACTGGCCTTGAACTCATGGCAGTCCTCCTGCCTCAGCCCTGGAGTACTGGGATTACAGGCATGTGATACCACACCTGACTAGGACCAGTTCTTCATCACAGCCAGATCCTTAACCTGCCTTGAAGTCTTGTCTGGCTTGTTCTTAGACAGGTACATGCGTGAACGTCACTCTCTCCAGCTTCACAAACACATGAGTCATCAAAATGGTCTTTTGTTAGCATTGACACCTGAAGCAGTAGTGATGTGATGTTGTGACCATGTGCCCAGTACCTGCAGGAGCCGTGGTTTTGGATCTCTGTGGAGGTGGAAACCTTCCTCTCAGGCGCTTTGGTTTCTTAGTTTTCCAGGTACACAGTTGTTTTAGGGTTGTTTGTGCTCCAGAGCAAAAGCATTGGAGATTCTTGGTGATGAGAGCTTCCAGGAAGGAGGTGTGCACTTTCTGTGAGCAGTTTCTACTTATAAACACACTGGTGGTGTATTTGGCTCTGGCTCTAAGGTTTGGCCTTGGGGTGGTAGGTCTGTGGTGACCCCAAGGCAGTATGCTGTGTGCTCACTCTTGAACCCAGGTGTGGTACGCAAACCTGTCCTGTTTTATAATTTTTTTTCTGAGATAGGGGATCAGTCATACAGTCACCATAGTTGCCCCTCAGAGTCCTTTCTTTTCTTTGTATGTGACTGGACACTAAGGTCTGGATTTTCTTCTGGATTTCATAGGGTGATTTAAAACACCCTATGCCATTACTCTGTTTGATAGTAGGTTTTTGGGCAGGATGCTGGCCTCACAGGAGGTACAGGAGTGATTACTATGGTACAGCTAATTCTTCCAGTATAGTGTATAATGTGTGCCAGGCACATTGTTGAATATTTGTCTCAGTTCTTTATTTAATCTTTATACCACCCTTTGAGGGAGGCACTGTCATCTACATTTTACAGTTGAGAAACTGAGGCTCAGAAATGCAGAGGTAGCTGTTCTCCAGGGCAATGTGGTCACTGGGATCCTGCTTCTAGTCTTCTTTGTTGGAGGGACCCACACAGACCTTGAACAGTGACACAGCAGGAAGGGTGTGATTCTTTCCTCACCCTTGTCTCCCCATGTCACTCCCTGGACCTGGGGCCAGTTGCTACACTTGCTATTCCTGCACACTCTGCTGGAGACCTGAGCCCTGGAGGACCTTCTGCCTGACCCCAGCCAGCATTTGGGAACCTGTGTCAGGAGTTGGCACCTTTGTAAGTGTGTATGTGTGTGCTGGGGGCCAAACCCAGGGCTTTGTGCATACTAGGCAAATATAGTAACCCTAGCTCCAGCTGCATTTCAGGAATTGGCCCCTTTTGATTGCCCTTAAACTTATCTCAAGGCAGGCCCAGCCCTTCAAGTGTGAACTTGCCAACGCTGCTCCCGGTGAGGGATGCTGGCTCTCTCTCTAGAGCCCACCAGGCCGAGAGTAGCTCTGCGTCTTTCTTGAGACCTCTGTGCATCTGGACTTGAACCTGGCCTCTGTATTTGTTAACATCCTGCCTGTTATGACACCTTCTGTTGATTTGTTATAATTGGATCCTTCCTTATTCTTTTTCCCTGTCCTTACCATCTCTCCCTCCTCTTCAGGCTCTTCATTTCATTCATTTGTTCAGTCATGTTTTGGGCATTTTACAACACACAGGGCATTGGGCCAGGAGCTGAGGGTGCAAGGCACAACAAAATAGAGACAGTTCTTTCTTTCTTTCTTTCTTTCTTTCTTTCTTTCTTTCTTTCTTTCTTTCTTTCTTTCTTTCTTTCTTCCCTTCCTTCCTTCCTTCCTTCCTTCCTTCTTTCCTTCTTTCCTTCCTTGTTTCCTTTTTTTTCCTTCTCTTTATTGTTTTGTAGGTTTGTGACAGTGAGGATTGAACTCAAGGCCTTTACATTGAACCACATCCCCAGCCCTTTTTATTTATATTTTATTTTTTGGTTTTTTGTGGAGGGGTCTCTCTTTGTAGTTCAGGCTGGCCTTGAATTCACTGTGCAACCCAGGCTGGCCTGAGACTTTGTGGTGATTCTCCTGCTTCAGTCTCCTAAGTACTTGAGTTACAGGTATGTGCCAGCCTCCATGGCTGACCCCCTTTTTATTTTTAATTTTAAGACAGGATCTCAGTAAATTGCCAAGGTGCTCAGGGTGAACTTCAATTTATGATCCTGCATGCTCAGCCTTGCAGAGTACTGGGATTACTGGCATGAGCTACCATACTAGCCTGGAGACAGTCTTTTTTTTTAAAAAAAAAGAAAAAAAAAAAAAAGAAAGAAAAGAAAGAAGAAAATTTTGAGAAAAACAATAAAAGGGGCCCTTTAGGATGTGAGGTGGCAGTCTAGGGGAGGTGTGGTATGTCTACAGGAGGGATATGGACCTAGCCTGGAGGTCATGGGTCTTGTTTATGTCCTTGCTATCACCTGTCATGTGGTGTAAAGATAAACTTGCACCCAGCTGAGGTGACGGCTATGAGGACAGATTTCTATACCTAGTCCAGATTATGCTAATTGTGCACTTCATAAATTGGATTGACATGGCCTTTCCTACATTTTCAGCAAACAGTTAAGTTAGTAGGTAGATTTGATTGATTGATTGATTTTTTGTCTTTTTGAGACAGAGTTTTTCTATGCAGTTCAGGCTGGCCTTAACTCACTTTGTAGTCCAGGCTAGCCTTGAATTTGCAGTAGTCCTCCTGCCTCAATCTTGCAAGTGCTGGGATTACAGGCTTGCACCACCACGCCTGGCCAGTAGGTAGAATATTGAATTGTGTTTTTGTCTATCTTTAGCTTTGCCATAAGTTCTGCCAGATGACAGTAAATGCTTACCAGGCAAGCACAGAACAAGACCAACCAGCTAGCTTGCAGGGAGTGTGATCAAGGTTGAGATTATTGTGTTGTGCATATACAATATAATGTAATCTTTTCCACTGGCATGATTGTTTATAGCTTAGATGATGAACTAAATTTAACTGTTTCAGGAAGGAAATCATATTAGGGAGCCGAGAAGTGAGCAGGAAGGACACAAAAGGGAGGAATCTGGTCCTTGGCATG